AAAAAAGAGTAACTGTACAGTTACTGTAGGATACAGTTCAGCTAAGCTTTCTGACATAATACAACAAATATCCCCTTCCCTCTAGTTTGCATTGTTTGTTTTCATTTGAACCCTCCCCTTTGCTGCCTTTAAATCCATATTTCTACCATCAGTCTGTTCATGATTATGGAGATGTCCTCTAAAATAGTACATATTTTCTCTACCATGTTCCTCACTTCCTTCTGAGTACTGACAGTGGAGTCCCTTATATCCAAATTTCTGGGAACAATCTACTTAAGGCAATTTTGGCTTTTTCTCACACTCCTCAAAATTCTTCCAGCTTCTACCCATTTCCAAATCCTGTAACTACTTCTACATTTTTAGGTATTTGTGGCAGTAGCACCCCACTTCCAGATCCCAAACCGATATTAGTCTACTATTGCTGCTATAACAAACCACTGAAAAAAACCTCAAGGGCTTTAAACAATACAAATTTGCTATCTTATAGTTCTGGAGGTCAAAAGTCTGAAATGAGTCTTAGTAGGCATCAATTGAATGTTTGTGTTTCCACAAAAATCATGTTGAAACCCTAACACCAATATAACTTAATTATTCTAAGGAAGTGATGAAGGTTAAATGAGCATAAAGGATGCTGATCTGATTGAATTAGTGTCTTCTCATGCACACGCACCAAGGGAAGGCCTTGTGAGGACATATACAAAAGGGGACATCTACAAGTCGGAAAGAGAGCTCCCAACTGAAACCAATCATGTTGGCACCTTGATCTTGAACTTCCAGTCTTGAGGACTATGAGAAAATACATTTCTGTGTTTAAGACTTCTAGTCTGTGATATTTTGTTACAGTACCCTAAACAGACTAATATACCAGATCAAAATCAAGACTGATACTGAAAGAGCTTCCTTCTTTCTGGAGGCACTAGAGTAGAATCCTCCTTGCTTTTTCCATCTTCACAGGCTACTGAGATTCCTTGACTGAGAATTTCTTTCCATCTAAAACCAGCAAATGCTTCCATTACAATATTTCTATCTCTGACTCCAATTCTGCTTTGCTCTCCCAAATTTAAAGGACCCTGGGGATTACACTGTACCATCCTGGATAATCAGGGATAATGTCCCTATTTTAAGGTTACTTGATGAGCAACTTTAATTCTATCTGCAACTTAACTCACCCTTGCTGTGTAACATAACATTGGGTTTAAAATATGGACATTTCTGTGGGGCCATTATTCTTCCTATTGTGTGTGTGTGTGTGTGTGTGTGTGTGTGTATGGAACATAGAATATTACTTTTCATGTGTCTTAAGAGCATATAAATGGCATACTATATATACCTTCTGCAACTGAAATTATTTTTCATTACTATTTTCTTTCATACCTTGCCAATGTTGATATGTGTAGCTCTGGTTTGCACATTCTTTTGGTTTTATAGAGTAACTCTATTTTATGAATATAATACCATGTATTTACCTATTCTGTTCTGGACGGGCATTTTGGTTGTTGCTAACTATGATAGTTGACATTATGTTAACTTGGCTAGGCCTAGGTACTCAGCTATTTGATCAAACATTATTCTACATGATTCTGTGATGGTATTTTTTTAGGTGAGATTAACATTTAAATCAGACTTTGACTAAAGCCAGTTACCCTTCATAATATTGGTGGGTCACATCCAATCAGTTGAAGGCCTTAATTAACAATGATCAACCCTCTCTCAAAGAAAAGAGAATTATGACAACATAGCACTTTCAGACTCAGACTGCAGTATCATATCTTCCTGGGTCTCCGATCTGTCAGACTACCCTACAGATTTTGGACTTGTCAGCTTCTGTAATCATGTGAACCAAGTTCCTTAAAATCCCCTTTTTTTCCCCCCACTCTCTCATCCTCCCCTTCCACCCTTCCTCTCCTTTATTCTATTTCTCTGGAGAATCCTAATACACTAACTTTCTCTACAATGAATCTTACAGAATATTTATGTATGTGCATATTTCCTTGTATACATATGGAAGAGGTTCTCTGGGGCTATTCCTAATAATAGTAATTAGTAGTTCTAAAAGTATGAGCGTTGGGGAACCTGGGTGGCTCAGTCGGTTGAGTGTCCGACTTCAGCTCAGGTCATGATCTCACAGCTTGTGGATTCCAGCCCCGCGTCGGGCTCTGTGCTGACAGCTCAGAGCCTGGAGCCTGTTTCGGATTCTGTGTCTCCCTCTCTCTGCCCCTAACCCACTCACATCCTGTCTCTGTCTCAAAAATAAATAAACATTAAAAGTATGAGCGTTTTCATTATC